GTGCTGTACTGTGTGGGTGGTGATGGGTTGAGGGTTGTGTGTACTGTGGGTGGTGATGGGTGGAGGGTTGTGTGTGTACTGTACTGTGGGTGGTGATGGGTTGAGGGTTGTGTGTGTGTACTGTGGGTAGTGATGGGTGGAGGGGTTGTGTGTACTGTACTGTGGAGTGGTGATGGGTGGAGGGTTGTGTGTGTACTGTACTGTAAGTGGTGATGGGTGGAGGGTTGTGTGTGCTACTGTACTGTGTGGGTGGTGATGGGTGGAGGTTGTGTGTACTGTACTGTAGGTGTGTTGATGGGTGGAGGGTTGTGTGTGTACTGTAGGTGGTGATGGGTGGAGGTTGTGTGTGTGTACTGTACTGTGGGGTGGTGATGGGTGGAGGGTTGTGTGCACTGTACTGTGGGTGGTGATGGGTGGAGGGGTTGTGTGTACTGTACTGTGGGTGGTGATGGGTGGAGGGTTGTGTGTGTACTGTGCTGTGGGTGGTGATGGGTGGAGGGTTGTGTGTACTGTGTAGGTGGTGATGGGTGGAGGGTTGTGTGTACTGTGCTGTAGAGTGTGGTGATGGGTGGAGGGGGTTGTGTGTACTGTACTGTGGGGTGGTGATGGGTGGAGGGTTGTGTGTGCTGTACTGTAGGTGGTGATGGGTGGAGGTTGTGTGTACTGTACTGTGGTGGTGATGGGTGGAGGGTTGTGTGTACTGTACTGTAGGTGGTGATGGGTGGAGGGGTTGTGTGAACTGTACTGTAGGTGGTGTTGATGGGTGGAGGTTGGTAGTGTCTGTACTGTATGAAGTGGTGATGGGTGGAGGGTTGTGTGTACTGTGGGTGGTGATGGTGGAGGGTTGTGTGTACTGTACTGTAGGTGGTGATGGGTGGAGGGGTTGTGCTGTACTGTGGGTGGTGATGGGTGGAGGTTGTGTGCTGTACTGTGGGTGGTGATGGGTGGAGGTTGTGTGTGCTGTACTGTGGGTGGTGGGTGGAGGGTTGTGTGTACTGTACTGTGGGGTGGTGATGGGTGGAGGGGTTGTGTGTACTGTGCATGGTGGTGATGGGTGGGGTTGTGTGTGCTGTGCTGTAGGTGGTGATGGGTGGAGGGTTGTGTGTACTGTAAGTGAGTGATGGGTGGAGGGTTGTGTGTACTGTACTGTAGGTGGTGATGGGTGTGGGGTTGTGTGTACTGTGCTGTAGAGTGGTGGAGGGGTTGTGTGTGCTGTGCTGTGGGTGGTGATGGGTGGAGGGTTGTGTGTACTGTACTGTGGGTGGTGATGGGTGGAGGGTTGTGTGTACTGTACTGTAGGTGGTGATGGGTGGAGGGTTGTGTGTACTGTGCTGTGGGTGGTGATGGGTGGAGGGTTGTGTGTGCTGTGCTGTGGGTGGTGATGGGTGGAGGGTTGTGTGTGTACTGTACTGTAGGTAGTGATGGGTGGAGGTTGTGTGTGTGTGCTGTAGGTGGTGATGGGTGGAGGGTTGTGTGTGCTGTACTGTGGGTGGTGATGGGTGGAGGGTTGTGTGTACTGTACTGTGAGTGGTGATGGGTGGAGGGTTGTGTGTACTGTAAGTGGTGATGGGTGGAGGGTTGTGTGTATGCTGTGCTGTAGGTGGTGTTGATGGGTGGAGGTTGTGTGTACTGTACTGTAGGTGGTGATGGGTGGAGAGTTGTGTGTGCTGTACTGTGGGGTGGTGATGGGTGGAGGGTTGTGTGTGCTGCACTGTAAGTGGTGATGGGTGGAGGGTTGTGTGTACTGTACTGTGGGTGGTGATGGGTGGAGGGTTGTGTGTACTGTGCTGTGGGTAGTGGGTGGAGGGTTGTGTGTGTGTACTGTACTGTGGGTGTGGTGATGGGTGGAGGGTTGTGTGTACTGTACTGTGGGTGGTGATGGGTGCTGGAGGGTTGTGTGTGTGCTGTGCTGTGTGGGGTGGTGATGGGTGGAGGGTTGTGTGTACTGTACTGTAAGTGTGATGGGTGGAGGGTTGTGTGTACTGTACTGTAGGTGGTGGGTGGAGGGTTGTGTGTGTGCCTGTGCACTGTGGGTGGTGATGGGTGGAGGGTTGTGTGTACTGTACTGTGGGTTGATTACAGTTTGCCGCTTGCAGCAACTACTTTGTGTGCACCCAACTCATCCTGTGAGCAGTAGCGCAAAGGATTACAGAGTAGGGTTTACAAAGGGTCATAATAATTAGCAGTTGTCAGGATATTATGGCACCGAAAGTTACACAGTATTTCATTTACATTTTTGTTTTAGTTCTATACATATAAGATGCTTATTCACAAATGCGTGAGAACAGGCGTGTGTGAGGCAGTATAATGGCCTCACCTTTATTGTCACATTTACGTGGGAGGTATTCAAAGCACATTGTGTATTTGGTTCTGGCATGAGAACTGATATAGTTACTGAGTGCAAAAAAGTGGATACAATCTTAATATGTCGGCTATCTTGCCATTAGAGATGAAGTGTTGTGCCATTTCACACACAGTGATGCTTGGACCTGTCCGTAAAAGTTCTATCTTCTGATCCGAGGACGTAGTGTTCAAGTGTGTGGCCATATGTACACACACTTCTGACAGTTTGTTTACATCTGTGAGGAACATACTGCCAGAGGTACTTATATCTAACAGCAATCTAGCGGTTACAGCATCTTGTAATCCTAGTGATCTTGTTACTTACTCCATATACATGTTTCATGATACATCTCATCATGGTAAACTATGGATCGACTAGTGCCTGTTTACTTGTCTACTTGCGTCAAACTCATCAATAAGTTCTTTCCTAATTACAGTTTTGGGGTTCTTTTGACAGACCCAAATTGTATTCAACAGTGTGTCTTTGTTAGACCTGTGAGTTTGGCGAGGGCATCAACTCTGTCTCATGTTTTATGAGGCCTATGTGAAGGGATCACAACAGTTTGACCCTGACACCCCGGCCAACAAGGCACTATATTGTTAATGCAGCTTCCAAACAAGATCGTGACAACCTGAGTCGAGGTACTTAGGCAAGTGAGTGAGGATAGAGAGTCAGTGATGATGAGGACTGTCAGTAACAGTGGTTTCAATGAATTTAATGGCTGTGAGTGGCAACTAATTCAGTTTGTAGAGTGGATGTGATTGTTAATTCTAACTCCTTTCTCCAATTATAATACCGTCAGGTTAGTCTAACTAATAGCACTTCAGCCCTCCACCAGGCGGTGTTTGAAGAATCCATCAGTGTAGATGGTCTGTGTGACAATATCATCAGTCTGTAGAGAGTGTGTATGTATTCAAGGGCTCTCAATTTGGCAGTGTGTTGGAGATAAATGCTTTGTATAATTAATTTTTAGGCAGATACGTCGACATTGTGATATCGAAAGAGAACTGTCCGCCAGGGTGAAACTGTTGTGTCTCAACTTTGTACAGGTGGTCTAGTCCAAAATATCTTCATATGTGTAGCTGTAGTTTGGATCATTTAGACTCAGTAGGCCCATGGTTCATACATTCCTAGCAATTTAAGAAACAATGTTATCAGGATCACCACCAGAAGCCTCAGGACTATCATGAGAGTTGACTTCAATTATTCTATCTTTAACACTGGAGTATACCTAGTTCTTTCCTCATATTAACTTTTACTTTTATCCTCTTCGCCACTGATCGGCTTGTTAGCCGCCAGGCGATCGGTCACAGCTCTTTTCGCTATATTCTTCACCAAAAGGTCGGCTCATGTATACAGGCGATCAGTCACGTCTCCTGTCTGCACTGTTGGCAAATACTGGGCATACCGGCTCCTGAATGTACCTGAACCCGCTCAGTGTTAGTAAATCTTCTCTTGAAAGAGCTCACACTCAGTGCCGTCACAACACTTTCTGGTAGATTGTTCCAGAGTTTAACTAACTCGAAAAAGTTTGCCCTCACGGTTTCCGGACTTGCAGCTTCTTCAATCTTGAGCTGTGACCCCCTTGTGGGAGACGAGCGTCCGCCAGCTCAATGGGACACTCAACTGAGTAGTGCCCCTGAGATGTATAAACCTCAACTAGGTCCCCCCTTGCGTCTGTGTAGTATAAGCTAGGCAAGTTCAGGCGCTCAATCTCGCAGGGTAGCTGAGAGATGCCAAGTGCAGGCACCAGCTTGGTGGCCACTCCTTTGAACATTTTCAACCAACTGACAGTCCCTAGCATATCTCGAGGACCAAATGGGGTGACAGTACTCCAGATGGGAAGCACTTCACTCCTGAAAGGATCGTCACGAGGACGGACCGATGGAATATCTGAACGACCTTCTTATAAGACCCAATAATTTATTTGCCTGATTTACCTTCTTCTACAATGGCCAGAACTTCAGCTCATTGTCCAACATACCACCTAGGTCCTTCTCACACACAGTCTCAACTAGTACATTTTCTTCATCCCGTTGGGACATATAGTGCACTTATCCCTTACCGTTGGTACGCCCCAGGTGCATCCTCTTACACTTCGTGACATTGAATCTGTAGCCATTCCCTTCGACCATTCCTGGAGCCCACAAGAGGTCCTTCTGCAGCTCTTCACAGTCCTTGGTTCTTAATTTCCCGAAATAACTTGGCGTCATCGGCAAACATTTGTATGGAGGAGTGTACAACGTCAGGCATATCATTTATGAAACAAACCAAACAACAATAAGACTAATACACTGCATTGCCCACTTGTTACAGGTACAGATGACGATTTCGTGCCATTAATCACCACCATTGCTTGCGGTCATGTAGAAAGTCTTCTATCACGCTAGGACATTT